GAGATGAGGAGGAAATAACATTCCTCATGGTTCAGTGGTAGGACCAGCTTCTTAGTGTTCATACTAATAGTTTTGGACAAAGCAGGACACTTGGAATTGTGAGAGAAGCAGCTGGTAATGAAATAGCAGCTGCTATTAAGACACACAGAGAAGTGCAGTATCTGCACCATAATCTTATTCAAATAAGTTCAGGAGTGGGAAATGCTCTTTTAGGTGCCTTAAGTGTAATGTGATGCCACTGGGTGGGAGTTACACATCAGGTAATTATAGCATGAATAGCAGGGAATTAGGGTGTATGGCACAGGAAGTGATCTCTGCACGTTGACATCCCCAGCATGTTGCAGTTAGGGGGGATTTTATTAAAGCAAAACAGTTATTGGCAGTACAAGGTATTTTTTTCTTCATGAACCATGGTAGACACACCAGATGAGAGCAGAGCAGAGTCACAGGAATCTCCCAGAGCCCAAAATACACCCTGACCCTCCACAGAGACAACAGGACTGATGAGCTGGGGTCGGGATATTTCATTGCCCCTCTCACAGTCTGAGTGCTGGCAGCTCAGGTGACCACTTTCATGAGGGGGGCACTTGTGTCTGGAGGTATTTATTTATTAAAAGTCCCTTTTGCCTTTATTTACAGTTTGCTGAACTTGTGGGGCTGCAGTGTCCCCTCTGGGCAGTGCCTTCAGCAGTTGGGTGCTTTGTCACATTTGTTTCTGCATCTCAGCCTCCACCACTCAGGGATTTGGGATTGGTGCTGGAGGGCAGCACTTCGCTCTGCACACGCTGAAACAATTTTCTCTGCTTTCTCACCCCACTCTTGGGGGAGGGCAGAACATTTTTGGCAGCACAGAGGAAGGCTGGAAGCTTTATGACAGGTACCTTTTTGTGCTCCCCTGAATCACAGAATTATAGAATAGTTTGGATTGGAAGGGACCTTAAAGATCATCTCCTTCCACCCCACTGCCATGGGCAGGGACAACTTCCACTAGCCCAGGTGGCTCCAAGCCCCATCCAACCTGGCCTTGGATACTTCTAGGGATGGGCCAGCCACAGTTTCTCTGGACAGCCTGTGCCAGGGCCTCACTATCCTCACAGGGAAGAATTTCTTCCCAGTATCTTTTGTTGCACAGGGGGCAGGAGAGTGTGGAAGTGAGGGAGGGGGTCTGTGGAAGGTGATGTTGAAATACACCCCTCAGCTGGGTGTGTTCAGCATGACAGACAGGCCGTGTTCTTCCAGAAATCACAGATTCATGGAAAGGCTAAAGATCATCCTGTTCCAACCCCTGCCATGGGAAGGGACACCTTCCACTATCTCAGGTTGCTTCAAACCCTGTCCAACCTGGCCTTGAACACTTCCAGGGAGGGGACATCAGCGATTTCCCTGAGCAACCTGTGCCAGTGCCCCACCACTCTCTGAGCAAAAAATGTCTTCCTAATACCCAGCCTAAATCCTCCCTCCTTCAGGGTAATCCACCACAGGGAGAATCCACCACGTTTTGCCTCTGAGGGACCTCAGCTGCAGGTACTGGGCAGCTTGGGAGAGTGTGGTGTGTCAACCCACAGGATGCTCCTTCTGCTCCAGCTCAGGATAGAGAAGGTGTTCAAGGAGGAGATGCAGAGACCACGGGGACAAGGCTCTGAAGAAGAGCCCTCATCCCTCTCTCCTGCATGGGCAAACCTGCAAAACCCACTGGCAGGCAGCTGCATTCCTTTAGTCTTGATTTCAGCAGCAGCTGGGATCAGTTCCCTGGGGGAATTATGTTACTGTGATGTTGACCCCAGAGCCTGAACCCTGCTGGTGACCCAGAGCCAGCTGGGCAGAACTCCTCCATCATCAGACTCAAGCACAGGCACAGTTGGGTGTTTTGGGGTTTTTTAAATTGAGAAATACCATTGAAAAAGTCACAAGAGTTGAAGTCAAAAGTTGGGAAGTGGAAGAATTGAGGTCACTGTGGAAGAAAGGAATAATAACCTGTGATCCTCTAATTAAAGTCCAGCTTTCAGTGTGGGAGTGCAGGGAGAAGAATTGGAAGTGCAGAAGCTCCTTTCAGTCTGGCTGTCCCTAATTCCTGAGACCCTGACACTGCAACTTTAACATTTTATTAAAACCAGGCTTAGTTTGGTTTTTCATAATTGCATTATTATTTGGATGGGAAAATATTAAGGCTTCAAGATATTAAGGCTTCAAGACACATCAATCAAATATAGAGTGAATTCTTGGTCTCAAAAGTTACATGTCTTAAATGTGTATAACCTGTAAACAGCAAGATAAGATGTGGATTATTATATTCCTGCTCAGTGATGGGATTAGGAATACAAACCTTATTCCTACATGATTAATCTACATCCATAGACTTGAATTGAGTCTGGGTATCTGCCCATTAAATTTTAGAAAATCCAGATATTTCTGTCGTGCTACAGGTGGAGGAAATGAAAGGGAGGTAGAAGGACATCTTGAACAATTTGGGTGCTTGTGTGTTCACAAGACCAAAAAGGGTTTTCCTTCCAGGCTGCTCTCAGGAGAAGAATTCCCACACCCTGCAGAGCTTTCATGGGATTGCTGTGGCTGTTTGTTTTATGGAAGTGCTTAGAAAAATCTCAGGTCAGCATTTTGCCACTTGGCTTTCATGCCCCCGTAGGGGACTCACAATTTTGGGGGGCAGTTAATCAGATATTGGTCCAACCCTCTGGAGAATGCCCGCTTAAAATTCCTGATCCAGCATGTGGAGGCACTACAGGAGAGTTAATGGGATGGAGGCTCCTGGGGAACAGAGAGCAGGAGCTGCAATGCTGCTCTTGCTCTCTCAGACCTGCAGAGCAAACCCAGAGTGTGCTGAGAATGGCAGAGATCTCCTTTCATGACTCCTGCCTCTGGAAATGCACAGCTTTCCTCTACCAGAAAGATGGAGAAATTGGAGTTTGAAGTTGGGGTGTTCATTTTATCTGGTGCCAGACACCAGAGAGAAGCCAAGCCCTAAAGTTTTAGGTCACCCCAAGATTTTTAATATTATGGTTACCCATATATTGAGGGTTTTTTTGCACGTGTTTCCATGGGTCCTTATCTGCAAATCCCCAGGTAGGTGCAGGGAACAAAGACATTGAGGGGTGATCTTGGAGCTACAGCTCCAGCAGCCCCTATGTGCTCTCACAACTAAAACTCAGAAGTCTGGGAGCAGATGAATAATTTAACAGCCACACTTAGTCTTTATAGCTGATTTTAATGGGGGGTAATAGCATTGCTAATAACAAAATCCATTGAAGACACCCTCTGCAAGTCCATAACATTAACTTAATGGCAAAAGGTAATTGGCATGCAGTTGGAGCTGTCCTTTTGGATTAACCCCACGGATTTCCAGGCAGACACCTCCCTTGGAGCAATGGCCTTGGGCAGTGCATGTGGGGTGAAATACAGATGTGGTTCACTTTAAGCAAACACAGAGCTGGATGGAAACAGGGCAAAAAGCTACTAATTCACATTTCTGGGCTTGTGTTTACACCAGAGAGGTGAGAAGAGAGGCAGTGAGAGGACTGAAAGCACCAGCAGTGAGTTGGTGGTATGAGCTCTGAGGGTCTTTGCAGCCCAGGTGTGTGCACCCACCTCTCTTGCTGAACTGCCACTAATTGGGAACACCAGAAGTTTTCAGTTTCAACCCTCAGCACTTCTAGTCAGGCATTTTCAAACCAGATACCAAAAGCTCCTTAGTCTGCAGGGACTATTTAGCAGCTGCTGGGCAATGGCTTGGAGTGTGGCCCCATCCCCTCAACAGAGGGACCAGCAGCCCAGAGGTACCACAGGAGCGGAGCATTCTCAGCAGGGCCAAAAAGCAGCTTCTCTACAAGGACATCCCTGCCTAAGATGTCCCACTGCCCTTCAACAAGAGAGTTTTCAGGGCTGTGGGTTTGGCCAAGGGAAGGTTATGCTGTAGCTGCTGGGGCTTTCACCCATCACTCTCCCTCTTTTCACGGTGTCCTTGCAACTCCCCAGCCTGCTGAGCAATCCCATGCCTGCTGGCACAGGAGTCAGCACTCTCAGGGACATGGTGAGATTCTTGGGGTCGTCCTTTTGAAAGGCCAGGAGTCGGATTTGATGATCCTTGTGGGTCTCTTCCAACTCAGGATTTCCTTTGACTATGATTCTATGAATTGGAGCGCTCCAGGACATGAGTTGCCCATCTAGTGCAGTCCCAAAGAGTACAGAGCTGACTTTCCACCCAAAGCTGTTGCTCCTCCCATGTCCCAGGGTTGTCCTCACCCTCCCAGCCTGACTCTGTGTTAACCCTGTGTTATGATCCAGTTATTAAAACTATTAGAAATGCCTCTGCCTGAATTAAGGTACAAATGAGACCAAATGCCAAAGTCAGTACTATGGGGTTTTATTTAATGGTAAATGTGAGACAGAGAAAGAGAGATGGAAAAAAATAAGAACAAGGGGCAAGGGGGAGAAGAAAGGGAATGACAGAGACAGAGATTTAAATAGAAAATATATCAACACTCCATGTAACCCGGTGGCATCCTGTGAGTCTGGTTCTTCTGGTCTTCTTGGTGCTGATGGTCCCAAAAAACAGAGTCCACTGGATTAATATCCCCCTGGTGGGGGGGGTGAAGCTTTGCAGTCTCTTGTGACAGGCAGTCCTCTGGTGGTGGGAGGCCTCAAGAATGAGTCTGGGGGGCACTTTGGGGGTCTTTGATGGTTTGTGACCCTACTCAGCTGCCTCTCAGGTGAATGTCCCATGTGTACGTGGCCTTTCTGGAGCAAGGGGTTACTCCTTTGGTTTGGTGTGGAGGGATTTCACCATCACACCCCCAAAACCCTTCTCCTCCACCACCCCCTGGGCCTTGTTTACTTCACCTCAGACCTGAGATGATTAGAGTTTCGATGGTCGCATTTGCTTCCTTGCAGCTTGACAAAAAAGCCTTTCTACGATTTTGACACCGTGTAAGACATTCCCAACCCTTCAGGCCGTCACCCCCTGTCCCTCTCTGTCCCCGTTTCCCCAGGTGCACGAGGAAGGAGCGGTGCGAGCGCTCCAGCGAGCCGCGGAGATTCGCCTCGGAGATGAAGCAGTGCGTCCGGCTCACCGTGCATCCCAACAACATCTCCGTGTCCCAGTACAACGTTTTGGTGAGGAATGCTAATCCCTGCCCCCTCCCCCTCGAGTCTAATCTGCCCACCCAGGTGTGTGCCACCTGGATCTCCAGGGAAGGACCGGCAGCTTGATGCAAGAGGTTCTCCAGAGCCCAGTAACTTCCTTTCTGGCACTGAGAAAGATTTGCCATGGGAGGCTTTGGTTATCCCCTGTCTAGAAGTCTAGGAAGGGACTAGAAATAGTCTTCCCTGTTTGCTGTGAGCAGCTGAGGGCAGGTCTGAAGAGATTCTGTGCCCTGCAGGTGTTGTGTGCAGCCAGTGTTGCTTTTTCCTTCCCTGGAACAGTTTATGCCTTTAGCCCAAGGAACATTATCATGGTTGGAAATTGCATCCTAGAAGAAAGACAAATGAGGGGTACCAGTGAGCTCCAGGTTCCCATCATCTTGGTTGGAAACATCTCCTTCTAAGCCACTAAAACCTCCACCCTGCTGCAGCTCCAGCACAGTATGGACAGCAGAGCAGAGAGGCAGGATGCTGTGCAGAGGAACCAAAGACTTCCAAGGTTTGTGCTGTCTCTTGTGACTGTCCACAGCACAAGGTTTCACCCTTAAGGCCTTGAGTTACTTGGTCAGCACCCAACGAAGGCACACACTGAGTGCTGGCAGAAGAGCAGATGATCCTGATCATTTCCTGGGCTTAAGGCAGGAAATCTCCTGCTGAAGGTCTGACCAGGTTGTGGTTTCTCTCCTGACTTGTGGCAGCAGTACTTTATGTGGTGAGATCCCAAGATGCTCCAAGAAGGAGGCAGAGACCCATTTCATTCAGCCTGCCAGAGCTCTGTGGTTTTGGCCATACTAGCTTGGGCTGGAATTAAGTTGATAATCCAGGCCCTCAAAGCTCCATCTCTGGGTGAGTTTGTCATTAACCCCACACCCTGAAAGGTCCAAATGGAATTGCTCAGGCAGCACCTGCCAGACACCTTCCAGGTGGAAGATTTTGGAGTGCTGGGACTATTTCAGTGACAATGAAATCAGCCTTTCAAAGCCTGCATGCCCAATCATTGCTGCTTTGTTTCAGCCTCTTAACTTTGCTGTGACTTTACTTTCCTAGGCTTCAAACAAAACTGATCTGAGACATCTTAACTTCTTTGTTCTTCTGGGAGTTCAAGGTTTCTTTTTCTTATTCTCTCAGTAGTTGCTGAATTCTTTCATGTTGGAATAAATCCTGGGGGACTAGCTGGCTCAGGGAGACTGGAAATGATAACAGAATAAAAGGCCTTTACCTCTGGGTTACTCCCAGGGTGAGACAGCCCAGAGCTGCTGGGATCAGAAGTTGCCAAAATCTATTTGTTGCCCAGAAATGTGCATGAATATTGTGGTGGGAGTCTCAGCCCAGTCTCAGATAAACTGGTGACTCAGCTCATCCAGTCACCACAGAGAGTTTCTTGGCAAACCAGGAGGGAACACCAGCAAACAGATGGCTGGTGGTATCCTTATGGAATCTCACTTGGCTTCTGGCAAAGGGTCAGTGATACTGAGGCAGAGAATTACGTGGTCAGCCAATCTTTTAAATTTTGGGCACTAACAGGGGCTTGGAAAATTTTACCCGAGTCTGTTTCAGTGCAGTGCTGCTGCTCTGGGATTTCTGAGAAGGGCTCCTTGCTGGGGCCAGGATCCATGCTTTCCTCACTGGAGAAGGTCCAGAGCAGGAGTGCGGGATGTAGGACTCCTTGTGTGTTCAGAGTGTGTGCTGGCTCATGGAATTTGTGGCCAAGCACTTCTGGTCTGTCCACTGGTGTCATCTGCTGCATGGCACACCTTCATTCTGCATCATCCATGCTCAGAAAGCAACTTGCTGAGCAGAACAGTTTTCCCTTCTCCATTGCCCAGTTTTCCCTTCTCCATTGCCAGCAGGGTGTCAGTGAGCTGGGAGAATGGACTCAGCCTGTGTGCTAAATCCATCCAGATATCCAAAGCTTCTTCCTACTCCCCACCCAAGACAAAAAATTCACCTTTCCCATTGCCCCAAAATGATCATTGTCTATAAAACCAAGAAAACCTACTCTCACAAAGACTTAATGTCAGCCAGGGCTAAGGCCTGTCTGCTCAGTCTTTCTCCCTGGTGTTGCCTGGTGTGAAGAAACAGCTCCAACCTTTCCCTAGGTGAGGAAAACACAGTGTGTGGGAGCAGTAAGGGTTATGTTGCCTTCTCATCCTCTCCTGCTTTGTCACCTGGACTGACCTCTGTTCTTTGTGCTGGTAGAAACAACACTTCAGCATGCATCTGTGTCTCCTCTCAGTGGCTGTCACCTCAGATGGGGCCTCAGGTAGCTTGTGGAGGAGGCAAGTGTGGAGAGCATCTTTGTCTAGTGGTTGGCTCTAGTGTTTGGTCACAGAAATGCTAAATTTATACTAATTACTGGGGCATCAGCAGGTGCTGAAGTCCCCTGGGATGCCTTCCTGTGTTCAGGCATGATCTGGTGAGTGGAGCAGGACCCTCAGTGATGGAGGGCTGTGGTGCAGGACAGTGGCTGGTCTGGGAAGTCAGCACCATGGCGGTACTTCTCCAAAGCGTGGACATGCTGGAGACAAGCCACGAGATTCCTTCTCCCACAACCATGAGCAATGGCACAGCAATGCCAGAGGCTGTGAACTCTAAAAACATGGTCAGTCCCTCCTTCAAGGCTTTTTTACATATGGCAGGTCCCCTAGAGCCAACTGCTCCTTCGGTGGGATGGGCAGGAGAGGTTTGCTGTGCCTCTAGAGACAGCGGTGGTTTTGTGGTGGACTGAAGGCTGTAACTAGACTCTCCTCACACAGGAACTTGGTGACAGAGTGCTCCCCACCTGCTGATGCTGGGAGAGCAGCCCGTAGAGAGTTAGACTGGAGCGCTCCAGTTTCTCTGGAGTCTGCAGAGAGCCTCTTGTGAGTAGCAGTTCACCTTCCTCAGAAACCGCGGGCCCTGGGGCCACCACCGCCCCGGGCTTCACTGCTGGCTCCAAAGACTCCCTGCCTAACCTGACACTTGCATGACAGATAGTGAGCACTCCCCCACCCCTCCACTGACCCAGCCAGCACTGGGATGCAGTGCAGCTGTCCCTGCACAGCCACAAACCACTTGTGTCGGCATCAGCATCGGCCTCTCATCCCCTTCCCCTCCACTGATTCCCCTCTCCTGAATCGCTGCTTTCTGTTGAAGGAGGATGCTCTCTCTAGCAAGAGGCTCTTTGTCTGACCTCTCCAGTGTAATTCTCTCCTGCTGACCCAGCTCTGTTGTTTGGCTTAGTGTTCTCTCTTCTTTTTTTTCTCTCTATCTTTTGTTCTCTCGCTCCGTCTTTGCTTGCAGCTGGTCTTGGAGACCTACAACGTCCCTGAGCTGTCAGCAGGAGTCAACTGCACCTTCGAGGACCTTTCAGAGATGGATGGCCTGGTGGTGGGCAGTCAGATCCAGTGCATCTCACCAGCTGCCAAAGAGGTGCCCCAGATCATCACAGAGAACGGTGAGTATCCCACAGCTCCCCTGCCTGCACCACTTCTCCCTCCCTGAGTGTTTGAAGGTCCTCACCCCACACCCTTGTGCCTTTCTTACTTTCTCACCAAGCAGGATTTGGCTCATGGCAGCCTGAGGGCAGGATCTGGAAAGCACTGGGATTGGTGGGATGCTGGTGGAGCTGCCCAGCAGCACATTGAGGCATGAGCTGTGTGAATTTGCCTGTGTTTCTGTGTGCACACAAATGCAAGTGTTGAGCTGCAACACCAGGACCTGCCCTAAGGTGCTTGTGTGTGTGACACGAGGTGTTTTCAGACTGCCACCGAGTGGCAGTTACATATATTTAGCAAAGACAAGACATGAATGTGGGATATTCCCTCACCCTTTGTCCAGGCTGCTGTTACACAACCTGGGGAACGAGGCTGTACATGTTCTCAACACGTCCCATCCCGTGTAGCAGCCAGAAAGTCCTGCACACCAGAGTGATCCTGTCTGTAAATTCATCCTGTTCCTCCCAGATTTAGGTCTTTGTGCTCAGTTCCCTACTCCTGGCCTTTACTGCCTCCAGCTGGTCCAGACTTGCTGCTGGCTCCCTCTCCTAAAGTGGTTCAGCACAGAAAAATACCTTGTCTCCAAGGATACTTCCCCCATCCACCATTTCCTGCACTTCTTTGTTCCCCCTTTTTTCAATAACACCCGTGGCTCTTTGCAAGGACTTACTATAAAAACCTCGTCCCTGTTGATCACCCAGTGAGACACAGAGGATGCTGTCAATCTTGTCCTTGGCTTCTTGTGAAAATTTACTGTAAGTTTGCCTCTGAGCATCCTCAGACCACAGAAAATAAAGTGACATGAGCTGTCAGCATCATCTCTGCTGTATGTGCTCTCCTTTTTGTCCCAAAACAAGCCCCCAGAAGGTTGTTACCATTTTCAGGTCCTGCTGAGTTATCAGTCGTGTTTGTAGATGCCAGAAACTATTTCCTTGGTATGGACATCTCTCCCAGGCCAGGCTACAATCAACCAGCAAACAAAAATAGCAGTGGAAGCTGGAGGCAGGACAAGAGAGAGAGATTTATGTGTGCTGTGGTTTCAGAGAAGCAGCTTGGAGCAACTTCAGCAGCTGATGCTCCGCACCTTGCACAGAGCAAGTGCTCCATGCACAGAGCCAGGGGCTGGATTGGAACCAAAGGATGTGTGGCTCTGTCACATGTCTGATCCCTGGGGCCATCCAATCCTTGCTTCCTGCTTCAAAATACATGGAAGATGCTGTGGAGTTGTTAAATACGGTGTGTTGATGGCAGAGCTGGCGGAGCTGGCGGCACCAGATGGGCAGCAGAGCCCAGCTCTGGCAGGAAAATGTGTTTAGTGAAGTGTGTGGTCTGTGCAGTGTCTGTGTGTGTGTGTTTGAGTCTGTGTGTGCCTGAAGGTGGGTGAGTGCATGTGTGGCTGCACCCTGTGATGGACTGTCCAGTTTGCTTTGTCCTGGTTGATTCATGAGTCTTTAGGTGAGGGGCAAAATAATGGAATCATAGAATTATAGAATGGTTTGAATTGGAAGGGAGCTGAAAGATCATCTCGTTCCAACCCCCCTGCCATGGGCAGGGACACTTTCCACTATCCCAGGTTGCTCCAAGACTCATCCAACCTGGCCTTGGACACTTCCAGGGATGGGGCAGCCACAGCTTCTCTAGGCAACCTGTGCCAGGGCCTCCCCACCCTCACAGGGGAGAATTTCTTACTAATATCTAATCTAAACCTTCCCTATTTCAGCTTAAGGCCATTCCTTCTTGTCCTATCACTACACCCCCTTGTGTGAACAGCACAGAAAGGGCCACCCAAGTAAATCTCAAATTAACTGTGGCTCAGTTCCCCACCAAATTACTGCAATTACTGCACCCACTCATTACCCACGGTGATGGGCTCTGAATAGTGGTTTTGGTGTTGTGGGAAGAGGTAGCAACCGACTGTCCAGTTTGGGAGCAGTGGGAATGAGGAGATGGGGTGTAGGGGCTGAGGTTCCCATGGGTCTGCTATGGAAATGGATGGATCCTTCTGGAAGTGTGATGGATTGCACGTCCCTCACACTGAGATGGGTTCTTTGCAGCCAAAGACCAGGGGAATGGACCTTGGGGTTAATGGGGTGAGAGAATGTGGAAGAAATGTCCACAGGCCCTTTCCTTCTGGGAACACCAAATGAACCAGCAGCAAGGAAGAATTTTAAGGAGAATACTCTGTTTTAACAGTCTCTGAATTCCAGCCATCTGCACTCATTCTTTGGGCTTAGCTTTCCTATTTGATGGCTTCAGTCACCATATTTTTGAGATTAGTGAGGTATGATCTAGACCTGTTGTCATGGTCTAGCCCAGACTCTGCTCCCAGGTACAATAATTTCCAGTGGTGAACATGCACTCCATCATCCCAACACCAACAGAGAGGTCACTTTGTTGGAGAACTGGGCTCTAGAAGGATTTTATTGTGCTTTCCACATCTCTTGAGGACAGACCAGCCAAGGTACTGTGGGACAGCTCCAGGTTCAGGCTGGTGGCATGGCCAGCAGTGCTTAACTAGGCTGACAAAGCAGCCACACACTGATGTGTCTATTTTTCCCCCAGGAGACCATCACATTGTGCAGCTTCAGCTCAAGTCCAAGGAAACGGGTATGACCTTTGCCAGCACCAGCTTCGTCTTCTACAACTGCAGCGTCCACAACTCGTATGTTCCTTTCCTTTGATCCCTGCTTCCCATTCTGCCCTGGATCTGCCACAGAACCCCCTGGTGATGGGCATGTGTCCCTCAGGAAGCTGGTTAGGTGTGGAGGTGACATGAGGTCCGGGTCACTTGTGTGGTAGTCAGGATGATGGGGTCCTTCCCGAGGAGACCAAGAGTATGGGGACCATTTGTTCTGCAGGCAGAGTGTCACATTGGGGCAGTTTGGGGCAGTTTGGGGCAGTTTACCACAGAATTGAGTCAGGACTGGATCATGACCTCAGCACGTGGCCCCCTCATCATCCTGTTAATCAGGTGTTTGTGGATGGCTGGATCCTGCCCATAATATGCATCTCCAACCCTCACCCCTCCTGCCATTCCCACCAGCAGGAGCCTGCCCCAGCTGGTTAATATGGGATTGGTCTTTCCAGTCTGGAAGGTTGGTTCGTGCATGATGTGAACTGAGAAGGGAACACCCAGCTGATTCCCTCAAGACCATCTTTTCTGTGCTGTGAGCTCCTTTCCAGCCTCCCACCCCATTTTTCTGGGGTTTAGCTGCCACCCAGGGCTGCTCAGGAGCTGCCCCACCAGAGCAGATCTGCAGCTGCCCCACAGAAAGATGCTCTTCCAGTGGGATGATCCACCTCTGAGCAAGGCTGAGCAGCTCTGTCCCCACCACTGAGCCTGTTCAGAAGTGCCAAAAGCACATAATTACTGCAGCTCAGCAATTCACAAGGAAAGGCAATTCCTATTTCCATGTACCTGCTGCTTTGACAAACAGTGTCAGAAAGCAAGTGTTGGTGGGGAGAGCAGGAGAGATGGTGGTGTTAAATATTTATGGCATGTTTTGGTTCCTTACTTGACAAACTGTACTACACTATCCATTTTTAATTCGATGTATCAGAGCAAGCACTTGTTACCAATTTGAAGAATAAGTTGCTGTACCAGAGCTGAGGGTGGATTGGAGTTGAGCAGGATTTCCTGGAGACAGGGGAGAGGGTGTGTGGATGCCTCTTGGGCTCAGACAAGCTCTGCTGGAGGCAGTTTTTTCTCTCCTGCCCATTAAAAGCCCAGTAAAAGCCAGGAAAATTTACCCCCTTCAAGGTCCCTTCTGGTACTTTAGAGTCTGCAGCTTTATAGGATCTTAAAATCAATAAGGTTGGAAAAGACCTCTAAGATCTCCAAGTCCAACCATCAGCCAGCTCCACCACCATGTTCACCATCAAACCGTGTCCTCAAGTGCCACAGCCACACGTTTTTTTGAACAATTCCAGGGATGGGGACTCCACTGCTTCCCTGAGTAGCCTATGCCAGGGCTTTACAACCCTTTAAATGGAAAATAATTTCCTAATACAATATAAACCTCCCTATGGCACAACTTGAGTTCGTTTCCTCTTATCCTGTCCCTTGTTCCCCAGGAGCAGAGCCTGATTTCCCTTGGCTCCCCCCTTCTGTCAGGGACTTGCAGAGCCAGAAGGTCCCCCCTGAGCTTCCTTTTCTCCAGGCTGAGACCCCTCAACTCCCTCAGGAATTATCCAGACCCTTCCCAGCTCCCTTCCCTTCCCTGGACATGCTCCAGCCCCTCCATGCCTTGGATGTGAAGGTCTCCAGAGTGTGGGTGATCAGGATTGTGCAGAGAGTTTATGTCTCCTTTTGGTTGCTGGTGAGCAGACATATATTAAATTTAAAAAGAAGTGTGATGTAGGTGTAAGTCAGTGCTGTGACACAGCCAGGAGAGGTGTTTGCAGCTCCTACTCTGCAGAGCCCCTGGGGACAGGGGAGCAAAACCTTGTAAGGTGGAGAGAATGGTTCTTACCTACATCCTGAGCAGGTGATGTCCTAAATATGCCATCTGCTTCCCAGGTAGCTGCTCCAATGGTCTACACTTCTTGCTGAGGTGAAGAAAAGAAAAATACAGTTAATATATTTGTAGGAGCCTCCTCACCCTGGTCAGAACTCACACTAATAAACCTGTGGGACACAGGGGGAGAAAATTCCCTGCTCCATCCTTGACTTTTTGATTTTGGTGCATCCCACTTGGTTTCTGGCCTCTGTGTGGGAGGATTAACCCCATGGAACTGCTGGTGCCCAGGGTTTGCCTTCCATGGGCATCACTCCTCCCACCAGTCCCTCGTTTGGCCACCTTCTCCTGATGTCTTCACAGCTCCCAGGGCACTGGTGCAGCCCAGTGTGGAGGCAGCCAGGCTGCAGTATTTTCCACCCATCCACTGATCTCGTACTTTTTTATTTCCACCTATCCCCTGATCTCACATTTTCTTATTTCCACCCATCCCCTGATCTCAAATTTTTTGTTACATCCAGGATTTGGGCAAAAATGGGGATGCCTCTTGTGTGTGAAGAAGCCAAGAACTTGCTGATAGTCTGAATAAAAGTTGCAACAGGGCAATCAAAATGCAAGAAATATTTATTATTCCTCCAGTTGCAATGATATGAATGCAACCTAAACTAACTAATAAATATGAGATTCTTGTGATCCCAGCCACAACCAGCTCAGGCCGTGGCAAGTCCAGCACCATCCTGTAACCTGATGGTGTCGTGTCAAAAAAAACCCCAAAAAAACATGTTTGCCAGGCTGTGTTTCCCTCTGAGAAAGGCTCTCAGCCTCGAGGCCTGTCCTGTTGGCTGATGGGACCCTGCTGGCCAGGTGACTGCTCTTTCTCTCTGTTCCCAGGTGTCTGTCATGCGTGGAGAGCCCCTACAGGTGTCACTGGTGCAAGTACCGCCACGTGTGCACCCACGACCCCAGCTCCTGCTCCTTCCAGGAGGGACGAGTCAAGATGCCTGAGGTAGGCAGGGGCACAGGATGCATGTCAGGGGTTGATGTCACCAGTCAAACTAACAGCCCAGGAAGCCTTCTGCACCTCCAGTCCCACCCTCACCTTCCATGAAACCCTCACCTCTCTCTCTCTATGTGCAGCTCCTCTCCTCTCTGCTCTGCCAAAATCTCAGGGAGCTTCTCCCTCCCTCCCACACGCTACAGGGAGTGTGTTACCTTGGAAAATCATGACAAACTCTGGCACCAAGGGGCTGGGAGGGATGGAAAACAGTGGTAATACGTCTCCAGGAGAGATGGAGATACTCTACTCCTCTAAGCACCTCTCCCAGGCAGTTGAGATCTGGGAAGGATTTAGGGCTTTGTCCATGCCAGTAGATTTCAGCCACGCTTTGAACACCTTTGTGGCTTCATGGATTTGAAGCCTAATGGTCAGTGCCTCAAACTGCCTCCAGATGAGGCCAGGAGATGCCTCATTGCCAGTCACTGAGCTGAACTGGACCTTGGGGTTTAACACAGAGCTGCAAATGCTGCCTGGCAGGTACTGTGACTAACGAGCACTCGCAGACAAGTGGAGCTGGGGAGAATACAAATAGGAAGCTACTTAATTACTTCCTGACCAGGAACGGTCTGAAAGCATCCTGGGCTGTCTGGTAAATGACCTGAGAGGGCTGGTTGTTTGCCTGGCCCCAGGGACCAGTACCCATTAAGAGATCTGATACCTGCTGAGCCACCAGGGCACAAGTGGCTGCTGAAGACTCTGGCAACGTGTGCTGCATTCAGAGGGTGAAACCCTCGCTGTTCCCCGTGCTACCTGCTGGCTCTGGTGTCTCTAATGTCATCCCCCACCTACCACCAACCCCTGCCCCAGCCCAGTTGAACCAGAAGACCCACATGTAGTGTCTTCACATTCCCATAACACTCCTGTTCCCTCTCACCCCTTCCATAAGTGCTGCTTGAGATACCACATATGTGCTGGTTGAGGTGTCCTGCATCAGAACTTCTGACCTGCTGTGCCACTGGGACAATCCATAAATATTCATGAGTTCTCAGTCTGCCAGGATGCAGAATTTGTTATAAACTTGCTGGAAAACATGCTGAGGAGGTGGAGGGCTTGGCACCCTCTGCTTGGTGGTGAAGGGGTGAAGGAAGGCAGCTCAAAGTTCAGCCCTTCTGGAAGGTTATCCCAGCCAGAGAGGGACTATTCCCTCACATGGAACCTTGGCACAGTTTGTCCAGTCCTGCTGCCCAGATTTCTGTGCCTTCCACTTCAGGGGCTGGAAGGCTGGAGTGGAATCCCCTGGGACACTTTGTCTCAGCTTCCCACTGAAATACTGCTGCAAAACCATCACCACCACTGATCTTCTCTGGCTCCTCTGGGGTATCCCATGTACCAAGCACAGGACTCACCTTCCCAGTTCCCACCTCTTCTCTCCTCCAGCCCCCTGTCCAAAAACAAATGCCTACAAACCTTAGTGGATGTCCTGCTCCCTCAACCCCTATCACATCCCTGGTATTCAGGACACTGCTCTCATCAGAAAGGAGACCACAAGAATGATCCCACTTTCTTATTGAATGGACTGGGGATGGCACAGCCCCTGATCTTTATCCCCTTCAAGGCCTTGCTCTGCAGAACTGGGGAGGAAGACAGTGGACTCATCAAACTCTGCAGATCTGCCTGTTTTAGCTTCATCACCTCTCTGCTAGTTTGGTTTCTGAAAGGTGTCCTCTTCAGACCAGCAGACAGCTCCAGCCTGGGGGGCTTTGTCTGCCAGCAGTTTGCTCTTTCTCTCTTCTGTCCCCTTAAACAGAGAATTTCCTGCTAAGCTTCATAAACTCCCTCTCTGATCTTGCAAAACTGCTCTGTGGGATTTGCATGGCACAGGGAGAGGCACAAACCCGACCTTGGAAGACAACTACTGATCTCCAAGGCAATGACAGCATCATGTGAGACATGGATGTTACACCGGTCATTCCCAACGAGGGCCGTGGCAAAACCATCTCTGAGCACAAATGGGACCTCTTTCCCCTGGGATACAACATTTGGCACTCAGCTGCTCAGCTCAGGAGTTGGATTTCCTCTCTACTGGACAGAGGAAACACTTCCCAGCACTGGAACTACAAAATCTGGAAGGATAATGGCCTTCCAAACCCCCAAAACTTTCTGAGCTGCCTTTCTGCCTGGCAGCGTGAGAAATGCCCTGTAACTTCAGGGTCCCTCTCATTCCATTTGTGTGTTTGTGGCTGTCAAGGACACTTGGGCTGGGGAAGGATGGCATCACAAGTGCATTCTGACAAAGAGATTTACAATCCCTCTGCGGCCAGGAAGGTTTTTGTCAAATGGCACTTTGAGCAAACGCTGCGTCGTGTCTCCCACGCTTCTCTTGAAAAACCACCTTCCCACTGACTCATCCCTCTCACTGCAACTTCCACTGCCTGTTTTTCACTTTCACCTGCAATGCTATCATTTTCTGTCCTACACATTTGCCTGTTTCTTGAGTGGGTTCTTGGAGCAGTAGAAACCATTGGGTATCTTGAAGCCACATCTGGCTCCTCAATGCCCATCCAGACCTTCACCCAGCTCCTGGTGACTCACGAGGTTGCCAGGGCTGAGGTCCATTTCCAGACTTCCCAATGCCACCTTCAGCAGTGCTTGGAATGCACCATCATGTTGAGTGGCTCTGTTCTTACTGGCCTCTCATCTCCATGCTTCTTTTAAGTCCTTTCCTCTGGAAGCATTTAGATCCCTGGAGGATGAGGAGAGGGGAGTGTTTCCTACCATCCAGGCATGAGTACCTGCTAAATCAGTAAGTCTGAAGGAAGGACTGATGGGAAGCTGTACCACCAGTGTGGAGTGGATGGACCATCCCATTTGCAGTCTTTCCATGGGTTTACTGAGCAGATTAGCTTGGGCATCTTCCAGGATCTTGCACCAAGAGACTTCTTGCCAAGCAAACAAATATTGGTGTTGCTCTATCATATGGACCAGTGCCAGGAATGCCTTCCCTCTGTAATCATCACTGCTGGCCTGACAAGCCTTCTACCCTCCCCCTCACTCTGGCCTTCACCTTCTCTTGTAACACTCACCCTCAGGTGATTTTTGTTCTCTGTTTGCCTGTACAACATCTTGCCATCATGTGGAAAGAGACTTCCCACTCTCCAGATGGCCTGGGCTGCAAATGGACTCGCTGGGCTGGCACCCATCACCCCTGGACCAGTCTGGAGTGCTTTGAAGGGAGGTTTGTGCCCTTGTGTACTTTCTGACTCCATGATTTCCTTAGGACACCTCACAACTTTCTGGATTCCCATGGGCTCAGCCTTTCACTCAGGTCTTCCTGATGTTCTCTGAGAGGATCTGGGGTTTTTACTTTAATTTTAGTGTGAGTTGCTGGTTAATTTAGAATGCTGGATGAATTTGAGGCTGATCCAGTGGGACAGCAGAAAGGCTTTGGCCGTGACCCACATTGTCCAGAAGGCAAAATGCTGCTTGTGTCTGTGTAGCCTGTGATCTGCCATCCAAGGAGAGCCTCTGAATGGCATCATGGATAGCTGGGATCAGCCAGTCCCACCTGGCAGAACAACCAGAGATGGGGAAAGGACAGAAAAGGCACATCCCTCACTATCAACATGGAGATACGACTTTCTTTCCTGTCATTTGTCAGGTGGATCAGCTCTGCCTGGGATAAATCTGGATCAACTACTCTGGGAGCCTTGGGAAAGCCCATGTTTGCTCCAGTGAAGAACTCCAGCATGGTCATAAAGCAAGAGTATTTATGATTATGGCACTGATCTTAATCACACGGGGTTGACAAAGTCCCTGGGTGATTTGTGGCAGAAATGCTTCACCTTGGCGTGTAATTTCCCTTTACAGCAGGTTTTCAAAAACCAGGCCCACTGGCTTGAAATACACTGAGTGACTTCTTGCTTTATAAAGGGGAGCTGATGTTATCATTACTGAGGGCAGGAAGGGAAAGCATGAGGAAAAAAGGGCATTTTAATACTGAAGTGGACTGTTGTTGTTGCTGTTGTTGTTTTTCCCAAAGAACTGATGGCAAAAGTGGAGAGAATTAGATATAAAAGGGAGTGGGCTGAGTTTCTGGTTTTTTCTTGGCTGTCCTGTCTCTGCTTTTGACATTTGTTGCTGACCATAACTAAAGTCACAGTGCAGGCTTAGAGTTTGAGCACAAACCAGACTAACACACTGTGAAATCAACCCTGACTTACCTGGCACAATTACCAAGTAAGAGAGCTCAGTCATTTTCTTCTGTAAATGGGCACGACAGTCAGCAATTTTGGGGGGGAAACTGAGGCAAGGAGGTGGAAAACAATTGATCTGAGGGTCTTTAGCGAGACGGAAGCTGTAGAAACAGCTCCTGTCTCTCCTGATTTGCATTGTCCATCTCATCTTTGTACAGATCTGCTCTGATCCAAGGGGGTAATTTTTATTTCATCAGTGTTTCTGTCCAAGGATGGGGTGCTGGGGTATCCTACTTGAGTTGATGGGATAAAGGATTAAATCTTTTTGTTGTGCCTTTTTCTCTAAGATGAACACTATGTTGTTCCAGGCCTTGCAAGGATTTTAGCTTTGTGTAGGGAAAAAAGAGGAGAAAAAAATGGCAAAAGCCAAAAGCAAGCCTAGATAACAAATCTATTATTCACTGGCTTTAACAGATACATAATCATTTAATTACCTTGAAGGAGGTTTTCATCTCTCCCTTCTCAGCCGATTTGTGTGTGCATGTGTTTTCCTTCCTCCCCCAAACAGGCCTTTTTATTAAAAGGATTTTCATCTGCTGCCTAAAAAGGGAACAGAAGAAAAGATCTTGCACCAGAGTGTTTTATGTCGAGTTGTACGTGCTAATGACAGCAGAGCCCACATAAAAGAAACAACTGCTTCAAATATTAATTTGTCAAAAGAGATAGAAAGCCTTGTGAGCTGCATCCTGGAAGCAGCTGCTGAGGAGCAGAGCATGCTTTTCCCAGTGTTTGCCTGTGCCTTGTGCTGAACTAAAA